GGGGGCGGGGGAGGCAGGGCTGAGGGGACAGGGAGACTCTGGAGGCAGGCCTTGCTGCATGCCTGCCACCCCGGCAGGGCTGAGGGGACTGGGCACCGCCATCTTTGAGGGTGTGGCAGTCTATTAGCATATTCCCTCCTTATTGGCTGTGGGTGCCACCATCTTTGTGATGGTGCGAGGGTCAATTAGCATATTCCTTCTTTATTAGATAGGATAATGTGATCGCCCCACAAATTGTAGCAATCATGTCACCATGCAGAAATGTCAAATCATTATATTGTACATCTGAAATTAATATAACATAGTATTATATACCAACTACGCCTGAATTAAAATAAGTTAAAAAGTTTTAAAAAATTTAAATGAAGCCAAATTTAACACCTGTAAGACTCATTCCCAACAGTATGTCTCTTTCTTTCTATGTCCATGGTTTTCAACGATTTGATTCTGCTTTCAAATTAAGCACAAGGAATTCTTATAGGATTCTGAGCAGATGAAGAAGCTTCTTGAAATTGAAGATCAATTTGAAGGGAAAGACTTCATGAGAAATAAGATTGGAGACAAACAGAATTTTTTTAAAAATGATATTTCCTGCAGGAAAATGAAAATCAAACACTGACTCCCCTCTCATTTAACCACAGGTGAAATCCCCTGGATTCTTGTACCCATCAGAAAAGAGGGACAGTCTAGGATCCTTGCGAGCAAGCTGTTCAATCTCTGCTTGCCTGACAGCAGCTTCAAAGGCAGGATACCTGGAAGAGAAATTTGTGGCCCCAAGAAATCGAGACATCGAACTGGGCTGTCAGTGACAGCTATTTTGAGCTACTGAAAAATTGCTGATAGAAGGAGAAAGTACCCTTCCCTCTTCCTTCATCAAATCATGTAAAACAAACTGGGACAAGATGCTGTCTGTTCAGATGATGTGAGTGAGAAGCAGCTGTCACAGAAGACATAAATTGAGTGAGATCTTAAAAGACTGCTCATGCTGCAGAGAGAGACGTGAAAGGAGCTGGAGTGGCATCAGCAAAGGGAGGGAAGGATGAACCTGCATGGAGTGATGAGAGGGGTCCGTCCTGTGCTGAGACCATCGGGTGTGAGAAGGAGGATGGGGAAAACAAAACTAGAAGATGGATTGGTACCTGATTCCTTTGACCTCAGGAGACCCTGACAACCAAAACATCATTCCTTATGGTGATAAGATAATAGAAGATTACAAAGAATTTGGAACGGGGCCCTGTTGAGTTCACCTCCTCTTTTTCTGTAAGCTTATTTGGTTGTGATCATAACATGTAGTGGGTGGACCTGGATCCTGGGAAGAGCAGAACTGATTGTGTGTTGGGGAGAGAAGAAGGAATTTTTATAGGAGTCAGTGCTATAGGTTGAGTTGTGTTCCCACCTTCAATTCCTATGTTGAAGTCTTAATCCCTCAGTACTTCAAAATGTGTCTTGGTTGGACATAAAATCTTTACAGAGGTAATGAAGTCAAAGTCAGGTCTTTAAGGTGGGCCCTAATCCAATATGACTGGAGTCCTTATAAGAAGGGGAAATTTGGACATAGAGACATACACATATGGAGAACAATATGAGCAAAAAGATGGCCATCTACAAGCCAAGGAGAGAGGCATGGAAGAGATCCTTCCCTCATGGCCCTCAAAAGGAAGCAACCCTGCCAACACCTGGATTTTGGACTTCTGGACTCCAGAACTGTGAGACAAGACATTTCTGTTTCTGAAACCACCCAGTCTGTGGTACCTTGTTGCAGCAGTCATAGCACACAAATATAGTTGGCCAGTGCTAGCACCCTCCCTCTTCTTTCCTTCAGGCAAGGGTGGAGAAGAGAAGATAAGGATTTTCAAGACTCTGCAAAGCAAGATGGGTTTCTTCTGGTATAATACCTGGAAACCCCAACAGTGTTTACATAAATGAAACAACTGGCCCACAGCTCAGCTGACCCAGTGATTTCTGCCAGCTTAACAAGTCATGTTCATCAGCCCATGATTACTGTGCATTTTCTGTGTGATCAGGTGCAAACTGGCCAAATAATCTAGTAGAAATGTGTCATGATCAATTCTGTGCCTGCCTGCAGAAACACTCCAGTGAGCTAGGCTGAGAGGTAGTGAGTGTTGAAAGTCATCCTTGAGGTTCCTGCAAGCACTTCTGTGGCTGGGCTCTCGAGTCTCTAGCCATAGTTATTACTGATTATAGGGGTTGAGAAGGAGGCAAGGCTTGGGTCAAAACTGTTGCCTAAGATGCTCTCCTTTGGGTTGAATGGAATCTTTTCACTGGATTTCCCTCCATTTGAGAAGGACAAGTTGTTCAGAAGAGAGCAATCATTCATATTTCCTTTAGTGTTAAATGATTCTTTGA